ATATATATATATATTTATATATATATATATATATATATATATATATATATATATATATATATATATATATATATATATATGTATGTATGTATATATATGTATGTATGTATAGAATTTCCCTTTATATTCATGTGTGTGTATAAATTTTTTCATGTGATCAGTCACAGATATATAATATCATTTTGTTATATTATTTTGTTATACTAATCTGCCTTAAATGTATTTAGTCATTCAAGAGAAGTGTCTGCATATGATAAATGTATGGTTATTTTAAGGAAATAGAGTGTTTAAATAGAGGCAATTGTAAGTTAAAAAAGAGATATTTTTATAGATAATGATAGTCAGAAGAAAGTTTAGCAATTTCCTTCATTAGTCTCCAGGTCGGCTAAAATATTGTATATCATTTTCTCTGTGGTGTTCACCCTGCAGAGTTACGAAGGCTTCCTGGACACGTGGAACATCTGCTCCCTCTTCCTTGGGCTCGGTAACCTGCTGGTCTGGTTCGGCTGCCTGCGCTACCTGGGCTTTTTTGAGACTTATAATGTAAGGAATGTTTAGTTTTTTCCCTCTGTTTTTGTGTGAGGGGAGACTTTTTTTAAAACCATTTTTGTTTTTGCCTGTGGTACTGAAATGGCCTATCAGTAAATATAAGCTTAAATAAAAGAAAATCCCTGCATGTGCTCAACATTCCCAACCCTTCAAAATCGTCAAGTGGAAAAAAAATTTAATTCTTGTAATTTCCAACATGAACTTATGTTGTGCTGGGAAATAACAACCTCCCCCCTCCCCCCAAGGTGCTGATTCTGACCCTCAAGAAGTGCTTCCCGAATGTGCTGCGATACTCCATATGCATCCTGATGGTATTTGCTGGCTACTGCCTCTGTGGCTGGCTTGTGCTTGGACCTTACCATCTCAAGGTGAGTAGTTGTGGCTTTTCTTTGGAGTATTATATAGATGCATTGATTAATGTATGTACCAATTGTTGTTGTTATTGTTAACATTTTGTCCACATGATTTTTTTTTTTTTCTTATATATTTAAAGAGTGATATGTTTTACCCTTGTTTAGGATATTTGAAGACCATGTTCTTAAGCTCTCAGTATTTCCTCCTCCCACTTTTCTACTTCTCCCTGTTTCTTTGTCAGTTCTTACTCCTCACAATCTCCTTATTCCACACAGTTCCGCTCGTTCTCTTCGACAATGGAGTGTCTCTACTCGCTCATCAACGGGGATGACATGTTTGCGACTTTCTCATCGACATCGGGCAAGGACCCTGTTGTTTGGTGGTTCTCACGCATCTACTTGTACTCTTTCATCTCCCTCTTCATCTATGTGATTCTCTCCCTTTTCATTGCAATCATTATGGATGCTTATGAAACAATTAAGGTGAGTGAATTACTTTGTTTTTATTTTTGGGATTTTTTGTTTTTAGTTGTACTTTTGTTACATTGTACAAATTTGCTTTTTTTATGGGGTTTTAATTTTTTTTTATTTCTACCTGCATTTTCATTCTCTTATTTTCCCTTCTGCCATCCCCTTTTTTCCCCTCGCAGAAATACTATGACGACGGCTTTCCTGAGTCGGATCTGATGGTGTTTGTGAATGAGTGCACAGAAGAGCCCTCCAGTGGTGTCTTCCATGACGATGGTGACCGTACTATCCATGATGTCATCAACTCGTTCTGTTGCTGTGGACATGAGTAAGTATTTGGGCAGCCTTGCAAAATTTTGAACATGAATTTCAAGTATGTGTATATGATAAGTATATGTATTATTATAATTATTTTGATTATCATCATCCTTATTATTTTCCTCTTCTTTTTCACCCCACACAGAAGAAGAGGTGACAGCCAGGAGTATGAGCCCCTAATCACGTAGACAAAGGTGTTTGCAACTAAATGCTAGCTGTGCGTGTTGCTTACAGTACCAAGCCATATTCCCTACAATCTTTGTTGTGATTTACACCAAAAGAGATTTCAGGAGTCATGCATTTTTCCTCATCCTCCCTTTCCCCTTTCTTTCTCCTCTCTTGCCTGTATGCCTTCTCTTTCCCATTGTGTTCTCCATTTTCTCCACACCCATTTCTATCCCCACCTACCCCCCTTCCTCTCCTGTGCCCTTTTAACTCTGGTTCCATTCTTATTCATATTCATGATATGATTATGATATAATATACTACTACTACTGTTACTACTACTGCTACTACTACTGCCACCATTACTTGATCATTTTTGTATTTGTACTGTGATGACACATCTGGTGGGATGCGCTGACCTCCTGTTGTAAATACTTGCAATTGCTCCACTGAAATACCATATTTACGTTATTATTTTTATATCACTTTTCTGCCTTATTTCTTAGCTCCATTACTGATGGTTAATATACTCACTGTATCCAGTATGAAATATGTTTACCTCTCCCTCTCCCCCATCCCCCCCCCCAAAAAAAAAAAATGGAATGAATATGCTCATTCCAATTGTCTCCTCTCACATCCTTATAAAACAACTGTGTTATTACTTGTACATAGATATTAGCTAACTGCCAATCATGACACAAGTCAGTAGTTATGGAATATGTAATTCTATTTATTTCTAATTGTTATTTTTTTAAGTGTCGTTTGTAGGCACTGAATCTCGATTGGCAACCATTATTATAATCCTCATTGGCAGCATTGAGTTCCTTTCATTTTATTTAAAGATGATTACTAATTAGTATATATATTTTCTTGTTTGTTTCTTTTTGTTTATTCTGTTTTCTGTGATTTTTTACAGAAAGTATTAGCTAATATGTTTCCTCCTTTTCTTGTAAGGAATTATTAGACAGGCCCATGTCTTCTTTTTCTCTGTTTTTGTTTCTTTTTAAGGGTTGAATTTAATTCTCTGATTTATAGAATTTAATTTCATGATTTGACAATTGTGCTTCACATGAAAGAATGAAAAAGAGGAAAAACAGAAGTTTTGAAATGGCTTCAAAGTTCTGCACTTTGCACTAATAAGAACTCTAGTCTCTGGAATAGAGTGGAAAAGACAACCAACTTTAATACATAGTCTCTTGACAAGTACATACTGCAGTTATTAATATGCCATTACATTTACCAGTCACTGAGCATTTTTAAAAAGTTTATGATGTTTGAAATAGTATTTTGTACTTTTTTACTTGCACAGTTTTGAGTGCTTTGCAGTAAGAGGTAATCAATCTTGCAAAAGATTATCAAATTAGAAGATAGTCATTAAGTCTTTCCACAATTAGGGCTTTCTATCCATATACGGCTGTCATGCCAAAGACCATGTGACAAACAGCTTCTCGATGCTGTGTATCTGTAGCTCAAGTTTTGAATTTTATCTCATTGGGTTATGCATATGTATTAAGCCAGCTTTGGGGCATTTCATTTCTCTTTCTGTAATCATGTAGGGCTTTCAGTATATAGTAGTATTTTCCTTAAAGTGCATCAGGAATCTGTCATTTGGCAAATGTGAAGCTTTTGCATCATTAGTAACTGAATACGTAAACTATTTTTCCCATTCTATTACTATACCATCCATTGGTGTATTTTATCCCTTGTGATTTTCCAGTAATTGCTATATGCATATTGTGATATATTAGTCACAAAGTGGAACTACTGCATGTGGCTGACATTTTATACATCTTATAGAAGTTTGTTTTTAAGATTTGGAAAATGGAAATGGAAATAAATATGGTAAGAAAGAAAGATTACAAGTTAGTCTATAATTTAGGAAGTGTTAGTAACAGGGGATAATGCTCAGGTCTTGTTATTTTTATGATTTTATTCATTAATATTACACTTTTCTTCTGTGTGTTAATGTTTAGTATGAGTCACCCACTTATTTTTATCTCAATTTTATATATGTGTATCATTTGTATATTTCATGCCATTGAATGATATGTTTGTAAATATTTGCTTGAATTAGGACACTACTGAAAGGGATATATAGAGATAATGCATAAATGCATACTGAAGTGTACATGTACCAGATATTGAACTAAAAGTGTTCTTTGTTCACTGTATTTTTCTTTTCATTATTTTGTTCTATTCATTGTAAATTTGACAGGATCTATTTTGTAATGATATGACAACTCAAATGCAAATAAATAAAAAAGGTTAAGTAACATATTTGATTTCCTCAAGAGTATATAGTAAAGTAATTTTGTGATGTCCAGAAATTATAGTATAACCTAATATATAATGGAACAATTTTCTTCATCTCATTGCTATCAGTCACAAACAAATCACAAATTACTAGACAGCAGATGTACGGACAGAAAAGGGCAATTAACACAGAACAATGGATAAATAGCACAGGAGACTTATTATAATGGAAATATTTTTATATGATATGATATCCATGTTTGTAAACAATGAACCAATGCAGAAGACGGGTATAGTTTAACCTGTTGTCACTAGGAACATGTAGTGCTCACTGTAGTTTTGTTTTGTGAAATATGTTTACACTTAGATGATTCTACAAGTGCTTAGCCAACAAAAAGTCAATCAGTAGGCCTAATTTTCCCTTTTGTTGACTTTTCTGATTTTTTTTTTTATAATGCTATTGATATGGATGCATTATTTTATTGACATTATTATTATATAATGACTAACAATACTGATCGCCTCAAAAAATAGAAAGAAAAAAATCCAAAAGTCAAGGAAAGGATAAACAGGACTAGTAGCTGAATCATTGGGGACTAAGTATTTGTGGAGCCACATATGTATAAAGACAATAATACAGTAGGCATATATACAACATGCCATTCCTGGTGGCAGTGGGTTGATAATTGTATTGTTGAATATATGATAGGCACTTCTTTATGTGAAAAAGAATGTTATTTTTTAGGTAAAGAAAATCTTTATAATCTTCGAGAAAAACAGAAAATTTGACTTTCGGAAAGGAGGAAGCTTGAATGACATGTTACGGAAAAGCCTTGCAAGCTAAGGGAAATATTATTGAACACTAATTACAGATATTTTTTACACTAAAGTTTGTAACTTTAATAATATTCTTTCAATATTGTTACGGATATCATGGTTTTTATTTATTCATTTATTTTAGATCTTTTTCAGAAGAAAAATTTCCTGAGACTAAAATAGTAATTAATTTTTTAATGAAGTGTAAATATTAATTATTTACAGATTTTCAATACAGATTCATTCAGCTGTGACTTTTCCATGCAGTCGTTGGGCTCATAGTTACTTATATTAATCCTTTTTAAATAATGTAAGTATAGGTGCTTTTGGAAATATGTTCAGATTATTTTATATAATCTAAACAGATTTTTGCTTTGTTTTATCTTCAGTAATACTATTATTCTTTAGGTGAACTGTTATTTTACTTACTTGTTTTAGACCATACTTATATCTTAGATATTACAATGACTTAGAAAATATTCATGATGTCTTTGTCACAAATTCATTCACGTCCTCATCATTATCATGATAACAGATAAAGTCATAGCAGTGGATAAGTAAGAGAGATTATAGCTTACACTAAAGCAGTCATAATAACTTATGCTTGCCTTGTTGTACATTCACTTGTAAATATTCCTGTAAAATACATTCCTGTAATTACTGAATGTCAAAGTGAGTATTTTGAGGATGGCTGTCTATATAATGATTTAAAATAATATCAGATATCTGTAAGTTTGTAAGTCGGAAAGATTTATAGAGTATAGAGTATACTTAATGTGATTATAATGTATTTTAGTTTATTTCTTTTATTTTTTTATTTTTCAGAAGAACATGTATGTTTCCTGTAATGCTTTATTTCTATTTATCTGGAAATGTTACTTGTGATTATTTATTCTTGCCATCTTATATGTTTTCATTTTTCTATTTTGTCCTTTTCCCTTCTTTGCAATTTTCTTGAGATGCCTCTCATAAAATGTCTGACATTTTGTAAAAAACAACAAAAAAAAATCATTTTTTTCTTAAAATGAATTTCATTTCCTTTAGCTGATTTTTTAAAATACATTTTGTAATTGATAAAAAAAGGACATATGTCTTTTATATGCATTTCTTTCAAAAGCAGAATTTTATATTTCAGATTTAATTTAGTTTTTTCTTTTACTTACATTATTATTTGCTACTGCTCCTCTCCTCATATTTAATTGTTCATTATTTAAAGTTTTTTATTATGCTGTGAAGCAATTGAAGAAAACACTGGTATAAGTTATGGAATGAAGAGGAAGAAACTTTGTATAAGAGAAGAAATAGTATTATATATAATTACATATACCAATGCATGTCTGGAAATACATTGTAGAGTGAATTACTCATTTGTAAATAAAATGAAGAAATAAATCCTGTTTGATTTTTGAATAGATTTTACGTATTAGTATCATACCCAGTATCAATGTGATTTTGTAGAAGTATATATATATATATATATATATATATATATATATATATATATATATATATAATATATATATATATATATATATATAATGTTTACAATATATTAAATTTATTCATTTTTTTGTGTAAATTATAAAGATTTGAAGTGTTAACATGACATTGAAACAATATAGCTAACAAACTTGTAATTTTTATTACAGGTCTGCGATAGAAACAAACTCTCCCATAGAAAAAAGGTTAAATCAATAGAAAATCATATAAAAAGATAGAAGCATTATTGTCATGAAAGTAGGGTCTAGTTTTGCTAGCTGTAAGTACTCGGACATTATTCACTAACAAACAGTAAAATTCATATAATCAGTTTTGTCCCATATGTTAACTGCATATAGAAGCAGATAGAATTATAACTGGTATCAGCATTTTAAATGCACTTCCTGTATTGGAGGAAGAATTATCACTTTTGCTTGTTATTTTGTATTTGTACGTAATTACTTTTTTGAAGTCTCCAGAAGGAATATACTATTAAAACTACAGTGTTTACAGAAAGATTTTTAAAAATATATTTTTTCAGAGTTGGATTCCAGCATTACTGACTTTTCATAGAAGTTGAATAAGTTGATGAGTCTTATATAACCTTGATTAATAGCTGTTCTCCATGCAATGTTGTACTGATTAATGATTTCAAGTGTATGAGTATAGCAATCAAGTTTAAGATCTTCCACTATAACAGATACATATAGTGAGTAATCCTTGTAATATTTTACTGTAATGAAGAACTGTACTTACAGTTTACATCTTTGTATTCAAACAAAATTTAAGAATGAAAAGGAAAAAACAAAACAAACTAAACTGCATGCCTTTTTATTTAGACTATGAATAAATCAAGTCCATCATTTAAAATGACAATGAATCTGAAGAAGTGAAATCAAATGGGATATGAATCCAAATACCTCATGATGAAATTAAAAAGAAAAGATTGAACGGAATAGAAAAGGAAAAGAAATATAAGTAAAATGCATGCACAAGTTTCGTCAAATAATAGTCCAACTAACAAAAAAAAAAAAAAAAAAAAAAAATCTAACACTTCTACAAAAGGTAAAGAATACACAGAATGTGATATCTATGTATCCTCCATAGGATTAAACAGTTCAGTTTGTAGAGGGACGTAATATAGAATAATAAAACGTCCAGGAAAATAATAAACGTAAATGGAACTTCATCTGCATTGATTATTCTATTGGAAGAGAAGAATTGCCTTAATATATAAAACCAATAAACAGTATGTACAGCATTCATAAATAACACCAGGAATCTGTAAACTCGTTACAAAAACCATCTTTGCCAAATTGGAATGGTAAAATTTCCAATGTACAATTATAACAAAGATAATAGTTTGATATGAAAAAAAAGAAAAAATAATAATATACCCAGGTTGGAAATGAAATGCGAGATTGTATTATACAAAAAGAAAAAAAAAAATCTGAAATGCAATTGGCCCATCAAATAAACTATAATATATAGCTAACCATATTTATATATGTATATGTATATATATATTTACTTAGCAAATAAAAAATAAACCTTAAATGTTACCTAAAGAACAATCGGAAATTTATGATTTGAAAACCATTATTTGTGTGAGCCAAGTCTCTCTCTCTCTCTCTCTTTCTCTAGGTTTAGCTCTCAGTGACTAAATCTGCTTACGAAAGTACTTAAAGGGGAATGATTACCTATTACATATTTTTTAACCTTGTTTGTTACAAGTACCTTATGATTTTTTAGCACAATCCTTCGAGTGAGTGACATTCTATACATGCATATATATATATATATATATATATATATATATATATATATATATATATATATATATATATATATATATATATATTATATATATATATATATATGCATGTAACAATTCAAAAAGTTAAAGCTACTTGGGGAGAGGAGACAGTAAAACAGAAACAATGCATTATCACTTTTCGTAAGTGAGGTATCGCCAAATATTCTTCATACGCCTTTGGAGAATCTATATCCTAATCTGTTTCTGAGCAAACTTTATTTTTATTAATCTTTATATAGGATTTAGATTTAAACTTACGAAGCAGAAAAAATAACATCAAGACCCCCCATCCTCTAGATACAGAAAAATAGTCAACAATTTCACAGTAAAAGATCACAATAGTATGCTTGAAAGGCTAAAACATGTGATATTTTTCCTTTCACATACTAAGCATTTTCATTTGCTAATGCTACCACTGCTGTATCCTCTCAAATCACTTTCATTACAATTTTGCATACTAAAGGTGGAAGAAAAGTTGTACATTGCACAATAGGAAAGAAAATGGCAGGAATAAAAGGTTTTGCATTGTAACGCTAACAATAAATTCTCAAGTTATAATACCACAATTTTCCGTTCACTAGACGTAAAAATCTGGAAGCCTTTTAGGGAAAGTAGAAAATCATTTTTTCTTATACAAGTCTGTATGCCTATGGGTGTGCATATATAAACACAATGCATGTATTGCATATATGACCTAACCCAATAATACTTTTTTCTTGGTTAATTGCTACAAGGGTAAATTGAAATAAAAAATATCAACTTCCCTACAATAATTTAAAAAAGTATTCATATATAAAAAAAAGATAATATAATCAACATCAACCCTATTAATTAATAATCCTAACTCTCCCCATGTCCTATTTGAGCCTTAGAGTCTTTTGTTTATTCATATTGGTCAACATAAGGGAGATATATGACGTCAGAAGGTCATCCATCTTATAGCCGAGGGAAGTTTCACACAACAGCTTGGAGCCGCGGACCAAGTTGCCGATGGTCATGTGGAAGTAGGTGTTGCCTGAGGACCAATTGCTGATGCGGGTGAACGGGTTGGTCACGAGGATTTCCTGGGGAAAAGAACGGGGGTGAATTTCATGTACGAAGGGGATCTTTTCGTCTTTTCTGAATGGGGGAGGGGGGAGAAATTACCCCTCTGTCCCTTCGCCCTTTTTCTCTTTCTATCTATAACTATCGGATTCCTTGACTTGTCCGGTTTTCTACCCCTTTCACTAACATAGGACCGTTGAAACTTGAGGAACTTTGCCCCTTTCAGCACAATACTTTACCTTAGTGCTATATGACCTTTGATGTCCAGCACAGTTATTTGTTTAAAATGTCAAACGTGAACATTCTGTATGTGGATAATTTGTAAAAGAAAGAGGCTTGTTGATTTTTTTAAAAACTAACACCAAAAAACATTATATCGATAAATACCAAGACTGTAAAAGAGAGGACTAAAAAAAGAAAAGAAAAGAAGAGAAGAAAGAAAAGACTTAGAAATAAAAGAAAGGAAGACTAAAAAAGACAAGAAGACAAAGAAAGAAAGGAAAAGAAGACTAAGAAAGAAAAGAAAAAAGAAAAAAAGACTAAGAAAGAAAAGAAAAGAAGACTAAGAAAGATAAGAAAAGAAGACTAAAATGAAGAAAAGACTGTAAACAAGACTAAAAAAAGACGGAAAAGAAAAGAAAAGAGAAGACTAAAAAGAAAATAATAAAAACTAAAACTAAAATAAAACAAAAGAAAACTAAAAAAAGGGAGAAGACTAAAAATAATAAAAACTAAAACTAAAATAAAACAAAAGAAAACTAAAAAAAAGGGAGAAGACTAAAAAGAAAACAAAAGAAAACTGTAAAAAAAAAAAAAAAAAAACACCACCAACTCACCTTGGAAACGGGATGTATGAGCGACACGCCCTGCTTGTTGATGGCGATGAGGAGGTGCTCGGGGTAGTTGGGGTCCGTCGTCTGCTTGACCTCGAAGAAGGCCGAGCCGAAGGTGGGCCAGCGGTAGATCACCTTCAGGAACGCGATCTTGGCTTCCTCGGGGCTCATGCCTGCGGGTGGAGGGGGGAGAGGGGGTTAGAGAGAGGGGTGGAGGGTGGAGGGTGGAGGGGCAGGGGGTTAGAGAGATGGAAGGGAGGAGGAGGAGGAGGAGGGGGAGAGGGGGTTAGAGAGGTGGAGGGGAGGAGGTGGAGGGAGGATTGGTGAGGTGGTGGAGGAGGGGAGGGGGAAGAGGGGGTTAGAGAGGTGGAGGGGAGGAGGAAGGGAGCAGGGGGAGGGGGAGGGGGTGGGGAGGTGAGGGGGAAGAGGAGGTCAAAGAGGTGGAGGGGGAAGAAGAGGTTAATGTGAGGTTGAGGGGGGGGAGGCTGGGGTGGAAGAGGAGGTTAGTGAGGTGGTGGGGGCGGAGGTTGGGGTGAAAGAGGAGGTTGAGAGGGGAAGGATGGATGGGGGAAGGTTATTGAAGTCGAGGGAGAAGGGAAAATCCCTGGGACCGGATTCTCTAAAGCCTTAAGTTAAGGCGCGCTAAAAGCCTTAACCGTCCTGCTGTATTTCCCTTCTATAAGCGCTAAAAGTGTTGCTTTCCCGCCCGCCGTGAAGCGCTAAAGGCTGCTCTCCCCCTGCTTTAACCTAAGTCGCCTTAACTCGCACCAACATAGCAGCTCCCTTGCTCTGTGTATATAAGATCGCTCGGTCGTAAGTTAAGGCGCCTAAAGGAGATACGTCGCCTTAACGCGTCTGAGAATCCGGCCCCTGGAATGTACACACAACGGCCGCCTCACCCGCGTCGTTGTTGTAGTGCTGAACGATGACTCTCTTCCACTCGTTGGTGCTCTGAGCCTTGGCCAGGTCGGCGGGGATCAGGTCCCTCAGCATCGTTCTGCGGGGAGGGAATGGGAATTGTAATAGTAATAATAGCAATAATGATGTTGATACTGATAATGATGGTGATGATACTATTACTACTACTAATAATAATGATAATAATAATGATAATAATAATAATAATAATAATAATCATACAACAACAACCACTACTACTACTAATGATAATAATTATAATAAGAGTAAAATCAATAATCAGGAATTATACTTTTTCTTGAGATATAAAATAACAACAACAACAATAATAATGATAATAATAATAATAATATTTTTTTTCTGGAAATGTAATAAAAAATGATACTTAAACTTTTTCTGGAGATATAAAATAACAATAACAATAATAAAGACAATAATACACGAGAAGATTCTGTTTTTTTCTACGCTTCCTATGTTTATTTTCCAAGTTTTATTGCCTTTGTATTTATCCAATATGAATTATTCATCACTCACCATTCATATAGTCCAACAATAGTTTTACGTTCGTTATTTCTCTCATCTAATTACTTACCATCAACATCTCATTTTTCTACGCCATTAAACCTCATAAAACCTACACGAAGTAACCAATAATACGGCAAAAGCTAATCATTACCCCAACCACATTTGAATACAGAAAAAAAAAATCCCCCCCCCACCTTAATATCACCACCATCACCTAAATAACTCAAATAAGAAGATTAACAATAATATCGTCACATAAATTAGGGACAAACAACAAGAAAATGATAAAAGGGAAGTCTTACGGGATATGAGCAAGTTCCTGCTTGCTCTCGCCGAAACGCACGCGGTAGACAAGCGCAGCAAGCCGGGCTGCCTCGTCTTTCGTGCATCTGTGATAACCTGAGAGAACGACATTAAATTAATTGACATGTGAATAAATGGTTAATGAATGATAAATGAAAGAATTGATAGCTAGATAGACAAATAACAAGGCTAAAAGGAAGCTCGGGAGAAAAATAAAAATGTTTTTAACGATCACATACCTAAACAAAAACACTACTATGGTTTAAAGACAATCGGTCAGTTTGTTAAAATTGTGGAAAGTCCGATCCAATGAATATACCAAATTCGGACATGTATATACACATAAATATATGCAAACCTGTCTATCTGTCTGATAACTATACTTTTATCTATATATCTATTCGGTACATATGCATATCTAGCCTAATAGATATGCATCTACTTCTGTTTATATGAGTGTCTCTATAATGAATATCTATTGGGTCATTTCTCTCTATACTGGGAATAAAAAGAAAGCGCGAGAGAAAAATAAAAATGCTTGTAACGATCACACATCAAAACAAAAACTACAAATATGGTTTAAAAGCAATAACTCGCCTCTAAGGAGTTTGGGAAGCTCCTGGTGGAAGTGGAAGATGATGTCGGCGTTGCGGTCCTTCCCGGGCACCGTGTTCGTCCACAGCTTCTTCATGAAGAACACCTGGTACGTGAAGTGCGGCGTCGTGCCTGCGGGGGAGGGGACGAGACCAGGCATGAGACAAAAACAAAAAAAGAAAAGAAGAGGAAGAGAGAAAGAAAGAAAAAAAATGATTTTTTTTTTTGGGGGGGGGGCTCTCATCATATCTGACCCAATTAAAAAATGACAATAAAAAGATTGTGATTTTCTTAAGGGAAAAAACTCTAATCAAATCTGATCCAATTAAAACATAACAATCAGAAAATTGTGAATTACTTGGGGGAAAAAACCGTCCCGAGCGGACACACACACACACACACACACACACACACACACACACACACACACACACACACACACACACACACACACACACACACACACACACACACACACACACACACACGCACGCACACACACACACACAAACAAAAATCCGAGCGCCAGCCAGCTCGGCCTCGTCCCTCACCGTCCCTGGATGGCCGCGCCTTCTTGATCCAGTCGGTGAGGTGGCGCACGAAGTCGAAGAAGAAGTCTCCCTCGGGCACGGAGATGACCTTGTCGGCGATCTTGACGAAGAGCGAGAAGCCCTCGGAGCTCTTGAGGTTGAGGCGGTGGGCGATGGAGGCGCAGAAGTCCTTGGCGCGCGTCGAGGAGTCCACCTCGAAGGCCTCGTCGGTGTCGTCGGGGAAGTAGACCTGCGGGGGGAGGGGAGGGAGGCGGAGGGTGGGGGTGGAGGGGAAGGAGGCGGAAGGGAAGGGATATAGGGGGATAAGGGGGTGGGGGATAGGGGTGGTAGTGGGTGGGGTATAGTGGGGAGGCGGAAGGAGGGGGTGGAAGGGGAGGGAGGTGGAGTGTGGGGGTGGAGGGGAAGGGAGGCGGAGGGTAGGGTGGAGGGGGAAGACGGTGGGGGATGTGGGTGGGGTTGGTGGGGAGCGGGAAAGAGGGACAGAAAAAAGGAAGAGAAGAGAGTGGGGGTGTTAGGATAAGAGGGATGTAAAGGAAGTAGGAAGATTAGAAAAGGGGGACAAGAGGCGAAAGGCGTGAGAGGAGGGGATAGGAGAAATGAGAGAAGGGGAAGGAGGCAAAGAGAAATTGAATTAATCTTTAATCCCGTTCTGACACAAGTAATTTCGACCTAAAACATGAAATAAATGCTCGGAAAAACAAAAACAAAACAAAACAAAGCAAAACAGAAAAAAAAAACATACTCAATGAAGATGACAAACATTAAAAAAAAAACAAGCGCCTTACCTTATGGAAGATCTGCGTGGTCTTGTGGTGGATGGCCTCGACCTCCACCTGGTGCGGCGGGTACTTCCTCTGCCCCTGCTTCAGCGTCTTCTGCAGCCGGTGGAGGGAGTCCTGGGCGATGGGATGGCGTCGCGTCCTCAGGAACTGGGTCAGCTCCTGGTGGGGATGGAAAGAGGGGAGTGAGGGAAGGCTGATAAAGGCGGTGGGAAGCAGAGGAGGAGGAGAGAGAAGAGAGGATGTTGGCCTTTTTGGACGTTGAGAGAAGAAAAGTCAAATAACTCACGTTTTACCTTATTACTCACCTTTCTCTCTGATATACACGTCATCCGAAATGCATTTAAAAGTGTACACAAAAGATGGCAATCGCATGCATACATATACACCCCCTTCAGCATCCTCTTTCTGCCTCTCCAACGCACACAAACCTACATGCAACCTCCCCGCAAACCCGAAGCCCCTGACCCTCCCAAAAATGATAACAATAACAATTAAAGATAAACGGACGAACAAACTGACACCCAGAATGCATATAAATGAGAAGCAGCAACCTCACAGACCTTGATAAGATTTTGCGAGCAGGCGAAGAGGCCCGTCGCCAGCCACATGAGTTCCCATCCTCGCTCCTCACTGATTCTGTTCCTGTTGTCTGTCAGCTGTTTCATCACCTGGCAGTAGATCTCGTCTCGTAGGATCTCCTGAAGTGGGCGGCGAGGGAAAAAAGTTATTTGGGGGAGTGAATTTGTGGATGAGGCGGTGACGTGAAGAAAAGAAATGCATCAAAATGAAAAATCTTCATCAGTGAAATAGTTACGTCATTGTTCTGAGTTTTTAGCTCTTGTTTTATGGACTTTGGAAACTTTTATGAACTTTTAAAAATTATCTTCTTAAACTTCTGATTTCCGCGCATTAAAGAATTCTTACATCCTCTTCAAACGTTTTAAAAATCATCTTTTAACTATAACACCAATGTTTTTTTAACGCCTGCATAAAACCTCTTATCTCCTCTTAAAAACAACTTAGAACTATTTTGCACCCGTGAACAACTTATTAGACACCCCCATCCCTTTCAAGGCCTTCCTGGAGCCCTTTCGCGCTCCTTCGCAGCCCCTTGGACCTGCAGTCGAGCGAACTCACATGCTTGAGCGGGCCGTCGAAGATCTGGTCGGTGAGGTCGTTGCCCTGGCGGTTCCTCCTGGAGGGGAGGTCGCCCATGTACTTGAGGATGGCGTTGAAGGCGTAGACGGCCTCTTGAGCGAGCTCCTCCTTGTGCAGCAGCTTCTTGAGCAGCGGCTGCTTGATGGGGTCGCGCGAGTACTTCCACAGGCACTCGCTCGCCGGTCGCCGCGCCGACGTCAGCGTGATGGCGCGCGAGACAGTGCGCTTCGGTGGCGGTCTGGGTGGAAACATAAAGCGGTCTTGTATTTGTATCTACGCGGCTGCGTCTTTCTATCTATCTATCAATATCAAACAATAACAGATAACAGAAATTACTGGGAAGACAGACCACCGACATCCCAGCCTCCTCCGAGCGCCCTCCGCCTTACCTGAAGTGATCCAGCGCGTATTCTTCCAGCGTGTGAGGCTTCTCGTGGGTGTCGGAGCCGTTCACCTGCGGCGTGAACAGCTTCCGGCCGTGCTCGGCTCCCTCCGCGGTGAACAGGGCCTGGGGGAAGGGGGAAGGGGTAGGGGGTTAGTATTTTTTGGAAGATGTAACTCGAAAAACAGATAAAACAGATGAAGCAAGGTTTAAAGTGCTCATCAATCTGTCTGATTACATAGAACGGAGACGAGAAACACACGTAAGGAGAAAATCAAGAAAATTTCGAAAAATAAAAAATAAAAAATATACCAACAACTCAGTCTAGTAACATCACAATAATTACCCCTTAAAAAGATATCCAAAGGACAACCAAATCTAAAAAAAACACCGACCCTTCTCCCTCAAAAAATAATAACAACAACAACAAAAAAAAAAACACCGAAAAAAAACAAATCAAAAGCCAAAGATGTGAGCCCCAACCCACCAAGATGTCCGGCGGCGGCTTGGTGACGGCGGGCAGCACGTAGACAGTCTCGGCCGGGAAGTCTCCGCGCTCGGTCGTCCTCTCGCAGCGCCCCACGCACCAGCCCGCGTTCATGACGGTTTCCCCCGAAGAGTCCTCCTCCAGCAGGATCAGGTCGCCCTTGCTGAAGGTCAGGAAGGAGGAGTTCTCGCCTGCAGGAGGGGGGTGGGGGGTTAGAAGAGACGAGGTTAGATTTGAGTAGGTTATTTCATTACTTTTGTCAAGGTTATCTCTTATCTATTATTTATACGGTGATTTTTGTGTATCATAGAGTTGGTTTCGATATATTAATTTGGTTATCCATACCCGTTCTTCCTTTCGTTAATTTTGATCAGCACTTACATTTTTTAATTATCATTAGTGGATTTTATGGTATATGCTTGATAATGGTTATTTTTTCTGAAGGGATTAGGTATGTTGCAGTTGTTGATACAGCCATCTCCCAAAAGAAGAAGAAAAAGAAGAAGAAGAAGAAGAAGAAGAGAGAGAGAGAGAGAGAGAGAGAGAGAGAGAGAGAGAGAGAGAGAGAGAGAGAGAGAGAGAGAGAGAGAGAGAGAGAGAGAGAGAGAGAGAGAGAGAGAGAGAGAAAGAAAGAAAGAAAGAAAGAAAGAAAGAAAGAAAGAAAGAAAGAAAGAAAGAAAGAAAGAAAGAGAAAGAGACAGAAAGAAAGAAAAACGGTCCTCTCACCCGGCGCCTTGTAGTCCTGCAGCGCAATGACGAACTTGGACCTCTTCTTCAGGCCCTCGAGGAAGTACACGACGAGGTCCCGGATGTCCTCGCTGTTGGGGGACTGGAACGTGAACTCCTCGCCCCGCACGGTGGACAGGGTGAACGTCTGCGTGTACACCTTCTGCGTCTTGCTGCAGGAGACGGTGGTGATCTCGGGGAAGGAGAGCTCGAGGAGGACCTGCTCCTGGTCGTCCACCACGTACACGCCCGTCCAGTTCACGGCGATGATCACGTCGTTCTTGGGAAGGTTCGGGCCGGAGTATCTGCGGTGGGGGTAAGGGAGGGGAAGGGGGGATTAGTTTTTCTTTAAATTTTTTTTTTCTAAGGGGAATTAATTATTTTATTCCATCTCTTTTCTTTATCTATCCATTCGTTTTTTATTATTATTTGAGAGGAAGAATGAGTGTTTTTTTTATAGAGCTTTGCTGTGAGAAGAGGATGGAACATTCTTATTTTTTCTGTTGTGAGAAGAGCAGAGACTAAAATGAGTGACTTTCTTAGAAGTTGTTTGGTCTGTGGTTGCTATGGCGGTTCTTTCAAAAGAAGAGAAATGAGTGAATTGTGGTTCGCGTGGTTATGGCAATCCGCAGGTTATAAGTGGTCTTGTCTGCCTATCGTGGTCACACTTGTCTCTTTTCTATCTGCTTTCTCACCCACTTCCTCTACTCTGTGCCCTTTCTCATGCCCTTCCCTTTACCGCTTCCTTTTCCCTCTCCTGTCACCTGTCTCTTCTTTCGATTTCCTACGAGCACCCTCCTTCCCTTGCCATCCTTCACCTTATTACTCTTCCTCTTTTCCCTCCCCCTCCTCCTTTGCACATTTTTCTCCCTCCTCAATTCCTTTTATTATCTTTTCCCCCCCTCTCCAACTCATAACTCCCTGTCTTCTCCCTCCCTCTTTTACCTTTACCTCTCTTCCGTCTTCCTTTTATTCTCAGGGGGCAATTCTTCTTCTTCTCCTTCTTAGCTCACGAGGCCGGATTCTTTTCATATTTCTTCTCCAACTCTGTCTTTACCCCCTGTGCTACCCCGGGTTTCCCCTCTCGTTCTCCCTCCCGCCTTATCTCCCTCTCCCTCCTACCTTCTTCCATCCTCCCTCGCCCCCCCCACCGTGTCCCTCCCCCCAAAGACTCACCTGAAGGCCTCGTAGAACCTGGAGAAGAGCAGCGGCCACTTGAACTTGGCGTAGCTCACGACGTCCTCCTTGACCCTGAGGGGCTGGACGCGCTCCTTGACGTAGTAGCTCTTCCTGAAGGCGGCGACGACGAGGCCGGCCCAGCGGTCGATGGCCTTGTCGCCCGAGGAGACGCAGTAGTCCGGGATGTAGCTGGGCAGGTTGTTGAAGAGGCGGTCGGTGTTGAGGTCGTTGCCGCTCTCGATGTAGTACTGCTGCGCCGCGATCATGGCCAGGTCCTCGTCCTTGTCGCAGCGGTACTCGCCGAACTTGACGCCGCGGACCACCTGGGGGGGGGGGAGGTTTGGTTGCTTAGCTTCTTTGTTGCAAGGTTTGGCGTTGTTTGTCTCGTGGCTGATCAGTTGTGTAATGAACTGCATTATTCCATTTTTTTCTTCAAATATGTTATGAAAACAAAGTTCTTTAACGAAGCGCTTTTACTCCTCCTGCTGAAGCGGTTCGAGAGGCGCTGCTCACCTGCTGGTAGATGAGGTTGGTGGCGACGGGGTCCTCGGTGGGGTCGTGCCACGGGGCGAAGATCTCCTTCCTGAAGAAGAGCCTCCAGGGGGCGTTCCTCTCCTGCGCGCCCTGCTCCTTCGCGTACTGCTCGCACTGGCTGATGGCGTCCATCACGTGGTCGCCGCCGCTGCCCAGGGACGACACCTGCGGGGAGGGGAGGGGGGGTTAGGGGAGGTGATGGCGACCCCGGGGTGAGGGAAGAGGCGATGGCGAGAGGGACGAGATTTTAGGGGTTCTGGGTCACGGTGGGGATGACGTCAGGCGGAGCGAGGGTTGAGGGATGAGAGACACGGCGGACGGGGGTGAGGAGAGGAGGTGTAGGGGTTGGTCTTGGGGTTGGCGGGTTGGCAGGACTGTGGTTCGTCTCTTAGGAAAACGGTTGAAGGATTGGTGATTCCGCACGTGTGTGCATATTTAATTCACACATACAGGCGCAAACACACATGCACACAGGCGAAAAAAACACACACACACACACGCACACACACAAACAAACACACACACACACAAACACACACACACACACACAAACAAACACACACACACACACACACAACACACACACACACACACACACACATACACACACACACACACACCACCGTACCTTATCGAAGAGCGCGATGTAGAGCGAGAAGCCGAACTGGTCCCTGAGCGAAATCTTGTCCGACAGCTGGTTGCAGAGTTCGCGCGCCGTCGTGGCCGAGTCGGCGTAGAGCGTCTTGGTGTTGCCGTCCATGAAGGTGATGGGCAGCATGAGGGGCTTCTTGGACTTGGTCGCCTGCGGGGAGGGGAGGGGGTGAGAGGGGGTGAGGGGGGAAGGGAGAGAGAGAGAGAGAGCGAAAATAATGGAGTTTAATGATAGAGAGATAGATACAGAGAGAGGGAGTGAGATGATATGCATATACATATATATATATATAATATATATATATATATATATATATATATATATATATATATATATATATATATATATATATATATATATATATATATATATATAGAGAGAGAGAGAGAGAGAGAGAGAGAGAGAGAGAGAGAGAGAGAGAGAGAGAGAGAAAGAGAGAGAATCTTAGAAAATATATACAAATAAAACAGAATCGCAGCCCATTCCCCCAAATCCTAAACACGACACCGCCCGGCGCGCCCGAAGGCCCCCGACCCGGCGCGCCACGCACCTGCAGCTCGAGCCAGCTGGGCGGCTGGTTCCTGGTGCCGTTGGCGAAGGTCCTCTTGAGTCGCTCCTCGCAGTAGGGGGCGTAGCCGGGGGGGCCCTCGCGGATGAACGACAGCAGGTACTTGACGAAGTCCTCGGAGGGCGCGAAGCATCCCACGCACAGGGACAGCAGGATCCAGCCGCGGGCGTGGGACGACTTCGAAGGATTGTTGCTCAGCTGTTTGCAGATCTGGCAGTAGATCTCGTCTCTGGAAAGAAGATCGGAATGGTGAACAGTGGAAATGAACAGACCTCGATGATGAATGCACTGGGACGCGCGTGCAAGGGGATACGAGTGGGAATGATTAAAAAGTATGTAAGTTGGCGGTCAGTCTCGGTCAGAAATTTATTATTCTGACTATGATGTAAGAGGACAGGGGAGCGGGGATGGTGTACAAGGTCTGGATAAGTCGAAATGAAGAGACCCTGATGGCGAATGCTCTGGGACGCGTGTGCAAAGGGGATAAGTACAAGGAGATACGAGAGGAAATTTATCATTCTCGATCAGAAATATGTAACTCGCTGTGGTGTGAGAGGACAGAAGTGCGGGGATGGGGAACAAGGTCTGGATAAATAGAAATGAATGATGGCGAATGCTCTGGGACGCGTGTACAAGGGGATACGAGAGAAAATGAATAATTCTCGACGCGCAATGTGTAAGCTAACGGTTATTATCGACTAGAGAAATCTGTTATTCTGGCTATGGTATACGAGGACAAGAGAGCCGAGATGGTGTACAAGGTTTTAATAAGTAAAAAATAAATAGAGCTTGATGGTGAATGCGCTGGGACGTATGTGCAAGGTGTAATTACACTTTGGTGTAATATTGAGGAACGGGAATGTTGAATACACTGGAACGAGTGTGCAAGAGATATGAGTAAGGGCTGAATAATCCTCAATGCAAAATGTACAGTCAATTTCAATCAGAAACATATAATATTGAAAAAAAAATTACAATACCAATCCTAATATAGAGAAAACTCCACAACCCGAAGAAGAAGAGGAAGAAGATGAATAGAAAGGAGGAAGAGGAGGAGGAGAAGAAGAAAAAAATAAGGAGGAGGAGGAAAAGAAATAGAAGTCGAAGGAAAAGTTTACGTAAAAGACGAAAGAGAAGAAGATGTAGCCAAAAAAAAAAGGAAAAGAAGTAGAGGAAGAAGCAGAATAGAAGTACGAGAAAAAAGAAACAGAAACAGAAGTAAAAAGACAAAAAAAGAAGCACGAGAGAGAGAAGCAGAGAGAGAGAAGCAGAGAGAGAGAGAAGAATCAGAAAGAGAAGAAACACTCCAAACGACGCCGCACCTGAGCTCCGCTCTGAGAATGCCGTGGCCGATGATGAAGTGCAGCTTCTCGAGGTTGGAGGTCGGCCTCGAGTCCAGCCACGAGGAGTAGCTCTCGGCGGTGTACTCGTCCTCCTGCAGCCTCCGCCTCACGTCGTCCCCGAGCTTGTTCTTCCTCTTGAGGGTGAGGGAGACCAGCTTGTGCCGGATGCTGCGGTTCTTCTGTGACATGTACAGGACCTGTGTGAGTTTAGGCAGAGAGGCTGTGGGACCGACGCCGGGCGAGCCTTACTGGGGGGGTTTGGGGTGCGGAGGGGTTAGAGGGGTGTTGGGGGGAGCGGAGGGGGTAGGGGGAAGGGGAGGAGGGGGTTGGGGTGGAAGGGAAGGAAGGGGGTAGGGTGTTGGGGGGGAGGGGGTTAGAGGTGTTGGGGGTTGGGAAGGGGTGGGGAGCGAAGGGGGGGGGTTTAGAGGGGGGAGGGGAAAGGGTGGAAGGGGAAGGAGTGGAAGGGGAAGGGAAGGGGGGTGTAGGGGTCGTAAGGTGTTAGAGGTGGGGGATTAGACAGGGTTGGGGGCGGAGGGAGTTAGAGGGGGTCTGACGAAGGTTAGGAAAAGGAAGGGAAGGAGGAGGGTGTTAGAGTGGAAGTCTATAGGAGTGGGGTGGAACGACTAAGGGATGGGGTAGGGGTGGGGGTTAAGAGTGTGGTGTGAATGGAGTTAGGGAAAGGGGTGTGGCGGAGGGATTCAGGGGGTGGGGCTTACGGCGGCTAGAAGAAGGAGGTTGAGGAGGGGGAGGTGGAAGTGGAGGAGGAGGAAGAGGTGGAGGTGGAAGCAGAGGTGGAGGAGGAGGAAAAAGAAGGAGGAGAAAGAGGAGGAGGAGGAGGAGAAAGAGGAGGAGGAGGAGGAGGAGGAGGGAGGAGGAGGAGGAGGAGGAGAGAAAAACAAGAAGAAGGAGAGAGGGAGAGGAGAAGGAATAATAGGAGGAGGAGGAGGAGGAGGAGGAGGAGGAGGAGGAGAAGAAGAAGAGAAGAAGAAAGAAGGAGAAAGAAGGAGAAAGAAGGAGGAAGGAGGAGGAGGAGGAGAAGAAGAAAGAAGAAAGAGCAGGAGAAGAAGAAAGAAGAAGAAGGAGGTTGCGCCTGCTTGTAGCGAGGTTGCGGGAGGTGTCGTTGTGGGGTTGGAAAGGGCTCATGGGTTGTAGGATGGACTTTTAAGAAAGGATCTTAGGGGAGACTTTTTTGGGGGGCGGGGGGGGCGGTATGGGGGGCGGCGTTAATTAGCTAAGGGGGTCTGAGCTTGGCTGAGGTTAGGCGTTGATAAAAGCTGTTAATGGGGTAGTGTTATTGCATGGTACTGTTACTGATTGCGGTATTATTGGTATCAACATTGTTATTATCATTAGTAACGGCAGCAATATATATCATAGTGTCATTGCCATTACTGATATTAGTATAATTATGGTTATCATTGTTACCAGTATTATAAACACTATCATTGTGATTATCGTAAAAAAAATATCATCAATAAAACTGACATTATTAACATTATTAAACAAAAGAAACTATTCACTCCAGCCCATCAACATGTTCATTATCATCATGATCGTAACCATTTCCCCGTAATTATAACGATGCTAATTAGTCCAAGATTAATAGGCCTACATTCACACGAAATAAAATCAGTAAAAGCGATAAAAGTTTGTCTTAAAGGCATTTGCCCGTTTTTTTTTTGTTTTGTGTTTGATTAATACATTATAGTTTGTTTTTTTCTGCAACTGAAGCTGATGGAAAAGGTATTTATATGCCTATAAAAGATGAAGGTGTTAACAAGGATTATTATTCACATGGTAAGTAAATATGGCACATGCTGAGGAGCAAACATGCAACAATATATATAATATATATATATATTATATATATATATATAATATATTATATAATATATATATATATATATATATACGTAATCTATACACATAATATAAGCATATACACAGAGACTCCCCTCTCTGCTTCATTTGCAAAAAGACAAAAAGCGAACTGCGGCGCACTCACTGGGTCCATGCCCATCAGCTGCGCCTCCTGGAACTCCTTGCTCTTGATGAAGTTCCTCCCGAGCGTCGCCGAGACCTTGGACATGACGGACGTGTTGTCGCGGTCCATCATGTGGTACTTGGGCTCCGCCATGTCGCCCATGAAGCGCAGGATGGTGACCACAGGGCGAGGGCGCCTGGGGAGGGGAGGCGGGGTCAGTGGGCGGGGAGGGGGAGAGGGTGGTGTTGGACACGCATACATTGATAAATGCACACGCACGTACGCACGCGCGCGCGCGCGCGCACACACACACACACACACACACACACACTTGGATAAGAGTGCTAACAAATCGTACATTAAATGGCATTCAGCTGATCTAACAAAAAAGAAAGACTAGGTTAAGTCAATCTCAAATAACTCAATCATAAAAAAAAATCACACCAAAAAGAAAAAAAGATTCACACATCAACTCTTCTGGCCCAAAGGACTCAACCCAAAAACGTTCCCCCAAAAGCAACTCTCCCGTTCCTCACCAGCTGATCACCCTGCGTTTGCAGCTGCAGGAGCGGCTGCTTCAGCTGCTTGCGCGAGTACTGGTGGTTGACGTTCCCCTGGAAGTAGGTGGCGGCGTACTTCTGGAACTTGTACTCCGACAGGTCCTCGTCCTGGTCTCCCGAGGGGCGCGGGATGGCCGTGATGATGTCGTCGCCGGAGACCGTGCCCTTGCCCCGGCCGCCGGGAGGTCCTGGGGGCGGGAGGGAGGGAGGGGTTAGGGAGTGGCGCAAGAACTGGGGACGAACTGGCTCGTTCAGGGAATGGAGAGGAAGCACGGATATAACGAAGGCAGGACGGGATTGAAATTACGTGTTGGATGCTATTCGGTGGGGAGGGTTATTAGCTTGATAAATCCTTTGAAACGATGGGAAGTGTTAACTTATTTATGATCACTGAGTGAACAGATTTCAAAAAAGGACAATAAAACGGATTTACATCCCAGCCCATCTCCGCAGAGAGGAATCGAAGGGACACCACGACCGCACCTTGAAGGCCGCCGGGGGAGCCTGCGCCTCCGAGGCCGAGTCGGGCAGGAAGTCGAACATCTGCTCCACCAGCTTCGAGTCGTCCACGGGCTCGTCGCGCTGCCTCTCGGCCTCCCGCAGCTGCGCCCGCTTGCGGTCCATCATCTCGCGCTCCTCGCGGTCTCGCTGCTCCTCGGCCAGCTCCATCTCCAGCATTCGCTCCTGCAGGAGAACGGGGGAGGATTGAGAGAAAAGGTGCGGTTAGTTACAGGTCTCTTTAGGAAGGCATGTTCAAAATGAGCGAATGTTGTAAAGAATGATTTGAGGCGAAAAAAACATACGTTAGAGGTATATATCAGCAAAATGTCTCGAATCGAGCAGGCATCCTGATGGCGCCAGGAGACACATCATTTCCAAAGCATGAAATAAAATCCTCAAGAGCTCTGACCTTGTACTTCTTCTCGGCGATCTCCTTGGCTTTCCTCTTGTCCATCTGCTTCCTCAGGGCCCTCTCCTCCTCCTCCTTGAGCCGGGCGGCCTCCACGCGGAGTTTGAGCTTGCGGTACTGTCTGCGCGCGATGAGGCCGCGGACCTGCGCCTGGATTTTCGTGACGGCCCACAACTTGCGGTGGAACTCGCGCCGCACCAGGTAGCCGCGGCATCGGGCCTGGGGGAAGGGGGTGAGTGAATGGGGTGAATAAGGGGGTGAATGGGGGTGAATGAGGGGGACGAGTGAGTGTTGGTGAATGAGTATACGATTACACATATAGGTACATTTTGTGTGCTTGCGCATATGCGAGTAGGCAAATATTTCAGTATCCCCTCCTAAATATTTCCAACCCTCCACCTCCTTTCCTGGGAATACCACCCACGATCAACCCCCCCATTAAACCCCAAGAACCCCTCCCATTAACCCCCCCCACACACACCACCCCCCGCGCCCTTCCCCCTCCACCCACGAACCCCTCCCTTTAACCCTCCCCCTGTCACAGACACCCCTTAGCCCGCCCTTCCCCCCTTCCTCACTTGCCCTTGCCCTTACCCTCCGCCACTGACCGTGCAACGACACGATGTGCCCCTGAGGTGCCTGAAGCGGTGCGACACGACCCGGAGCGGATGAGGGCTGGAGCCGCATGTACCCGACGCGCATGTGCTGGTAGCGGCGTTTCTGCGCGAAGGTCCTGTAGTGTTTCTGGATGATGATCGCACTCTCGCGCATCTTCTGGAATCTGTGAGGGAAATGTGGGTGGACATGAGTGGGGGTTGTTTTTTTTGGGGTTGTTTGTTGGGAGGAGAGAAGGGGGGTGGTTGTTATTTTTGTGTTTTTTTTCTTTCTTTTTTTTTCTCTTTCTCTTTCTCTCTTTCTCTCTCTCTCTCTCTCTCTCTCTCTCTCTCTCTCTCTCTCTCTCTCTCTCTCTCTCTCTCTCCTTCTCTCTCTCTCTCTCAACTTCCCCTTCCTCCCTCTCCCCTTCCTCTCCTCTTTTCCCTCTCCCCTTCCCCCTCTCCCCTTCCCCTTCCCCTCTCCTTCCCCTTCCCTCTCTCCCCCCTCCCTCCCCCCCTCCCATCCTCACCTCCTCCTGTAGTACCACCCCCTGACGCAGCGCTGTAGGATAGTGATCTTCTTGGTGAGGACGCGATCCCTCTCCTGCTCGAGGAAGAGGTCGTGGGCGTCCTTGAGGAAGACCTTGGTGTGACCCAGCTGGTAGTCCGCCCGTCCCAACACCTGCTGGCAGATCTTGGAGGTGGCGGCGCGGCAGTCGACCTGGGGAGAGGGTGAACGGATGGTGAGAGCGGAAGAGGGGCAGAGGGTGAACGGATGGTGAGAGTGAAAGATAAGATGGTGAACAGATGGTAAAAGTGGAAATTGGGAAGAGGGTGAAAGTGAAAGATGGGGAACAGATGGTAAAAATGGAAGATAAGATGATGAACAGATGGTGAAAGAGGAAGATGGGGAACAGATGGTAAAAGTGGAAAATGAGGAGAGGGTGAACAGATGGTGAAAGTGAAAGATGAGTATTATGGATATTGTTACTTGTACTAATACTAATAATGCATATAAATATATGGTGAAAGTAAAAGATGATTATTGGAGATATTGTTACTTATACTAATACTAATAATATATATACGTATATATATTTTTATGCCTCTATCTATCGTCCTGTTTTCCATGATTGCAGTGTATAGTGCATTAGGTAATGGATGATAGTGACTATCAATTAATGAGTTTTGAATTAATGGCTCCCGTGGTGATAAAATAGACAAAAAACTTGACAGCCCTCTCAAATAAACTTATTTTATGTTTTTGTTTTTCTTTCTACAGTTGATAAGCTAGGTTTGCGAGTGTGAAATGAGACGCGATCATCTCCCTTCACTTCTCTCTCTCTCCCTCTCTCCTCATTTCTTCTTCTCTCTCTCCCGTTCCCCTCATTCCTCACCTTGTGCGCGGGCGGGCATCCGGTAATGAGGAACCGGTACCTCTCCACGAACTCCCTGAACGTGTGGCGGATCGGGTATCCGGCCCTTCGTATCCGGATGGTCTCCATCATGCCCGAGTAACGCAGCTGGCGGCAGCAGAGCTCGCGGTCGAACAGCTGTGGACGAAGGGAAGGAAGGGGGGGGGGGTTAGAAAGGTTTGTTGGAAGGTTTGCTCTCTGTCTCTCTCTCTTTCTCTTGGACTTTCTTTCTGTCTCTCTCTCTTTCTCTTATATTTGTGTGTGGTGTGTGTGTGTTGTGTCTCTGCCTCTGCCTCTGCCTCTGCACTGCTCTGTCTCTGTCCTCTTTCCCAACTCCCTCTCACCGTCTCTCTCTCGCACGTACATCCACACACACTCCCACATACTCTCTTCCACTCTTACCCCCTTCCCACCCTCCCACCCCCAATCACTCATACTCCCAACCCCCTCCAAACCCACCCAACCCACCTCCCCCTCGACTCACCATGGGCTTCTTGAACTCGTTGGGCTTAATACACCTGATGAAGAAGGGCTGACAGGAGAGCAGCGTCTTCATCAGCGAATCCAGCGACTTCTTGAACTGCGCTGACAGGGTGGGCGCTCGCTTGCGGGTCTCGGAGCCCATGCCTGTGGGAGGGAGGGAGAATGGGGATAAAAGTGGGGATAATGGGGTCGGGGAATAAAGGATAAGTGATTACAAATTTGGATAATACTTTGAGGATAAGGAAGGGAATAAATGATGAATTCAGTGAGAATAAATTATAGAATTGAGTGATAAATAGAATTGAAAATAATATGGGCAGAAATAAAGGATAAATGATAAAATTGAGAATAATAAGGACGGGAATAAAGCTAAATTATACAATCGGCAATAATAAGGGCGGGAGTAAATAATAAACGAGGTGGGAATAAAAGATAAATGATAGAATAACTGAATGCGATAATTTTTGGCGACTTGCGATTTAATGTGATACTGAGATTTTGATATTTAGGATTTCGGTTCATTCTTGGTTGTGATTTGTTTTGGGTTGTTTGTTTCTTCTAAGTAACATAAGTTTATAAGTATTTTTTTTCTTCTTAAGTGAATGCTACGGGAAACTTTAATAGTGTTCTAATGTATTTTCTCGTAGGGAGAGGTTTGGTATGAATGCATGAAAGATTTTATTAAAAATAATAATAATAAAAAAATAGTGCACAAGAAAATAAAAAATAATTGTACTTTATTGAATTGAATAAATCGCCTTATTTCTTAACATCGTAGAAATATTTCATTACAACAACAACAACAACGAAATCACCAACAAACATAAACAACAAACATAACTTCAAAACAAAACCACTGCTTATCCATGATGCACAAGAAAATCACAAATAATTGTATTTTATTGTATTGAATAAATCACCTTATTTTTTAACATCGCAGAAATAACAACAATATCACAAAAAAACACTGCTTATCCGTGATGCACTTACCGATGTCCTCCACGAAGAGATGTTGCAAGAACTTGTTGCTTGTGTGGTGAATAAGTTGCAGAAGGTCGGCGCTGAATGTGTCTCGGTTTTTGTCCAAGAAGCCTAGGGATAAGTGAAAAAAATGGAAGGCGTTAATTAATTTTTCGTGTGGTTGTAAAATTCGAATGGTTTTGGGTGTGGATGTTTTTTTTCATTTGTTGTTATTTAGTTTTCTTTTTTTCTTTCTTCTTCTCTCTCTCTCTCTCTCTCTCTCTCTCTTGCTCTCTCTCTATCTCTCGCTCTCACTCTCTCACTCCCCCCTCTCTTTAGCATTCTCCCTCCCCCTTCTTTCCACTCGCATTCTCCCTCTTACACTCATATTGCAAAAGACGAAGCCTACTTCTCTCCTCTCTTCCTCTCACCTTCGCCCTCCCTCCCATCTTCTCCCTCTCTCTTCCCTCTTCTCCCTCTAACTTCCTTCCCCCTCCCACTCTTCCCTTTTCTCCCTCTCACTTTTTTCCCTCTCTTCTCTCTCTTCCCACTCCCTTTCCTCCTTCCCCCTCTCTTCACACTCCTTTTCCTCTCGCCTCCCTCTCTTCCCACTTCCATTCCTCCCTCTCAATTCCCCCCTCTCCCTCTCCTCCCTCTTTCCCCTCTCTCCCTCTCCTCCCTCTCCCATCCTCTCCTCCCTCTCTTCCCACTCACATCCCTCTCCTCCCTCTCTCCCTCTCACAACTCCCTCTCACTCCCTCTCCTCCCTCTCACATCCTCTCCTCCCTCTCATTCCCTCTCATCCTCTCCTTCCTCTCACATCCCTCTCACCTCTCGTATCGTAGAAGACGACGCCGGCGAAGTGGTTGATGCCGAAGGAGGCGTTGAGGTCGGACTTGGGTTTGAGGTACTGCTTGTGGTGCGAGTGCTGCTTGTGGAGTTTCTGGAGCATGGTTTGGTCTGTGCCCTGTGGGGTGGAGGGATGGGGGGATGGGTGGAGGGGGGGAGGAGGATGGAGGGGGAAAAGAAGGGTGGAGGGAAAGGGTGGGGGGAGGGAATGGGATGGAGGGGGAAGGAGGAGAAGGGAGAGGGGGGGAAGGTGGAGGGGGAATGGGTGGTGGGGGAGGGAGAAGAAGGGTCGGGGGAAAGGGTGGAGGAAGAAGGGGAAGGGGTGAGGGGAAGAAGGGAGGGGGCAGGGTAGAGAAGGGAAGGGGAGAAGGGAGGGGGGAGGGGGAGGGGGAAGGGGGGAGGGGAGAAGGGAGGGGGTTGGGATGGGAGGGAAAGGGAAGTGGAAATTGAGAGAAGAGAAGGGAAAAGAGGGAAGAGAAGATCAAGTCGGAGAGAAGGGAAGGGGAAAGGAAATGAAGGAAAGTGGAAAGGAAAAAAGCGGAGAAAAATTGGATTAGCCTTTTTTGCAAATTCATAAATCGGAAATAAAATAAATGAAAAGTAAAACATTGAGCTTAAAATATAATCATAAAATAAGACGAGACAAATCAAGCGATAACAATTGTTTAAACTTAAATCTAACATCCCCACACAAACGAAAGACAAAATATAACTCCATTTTTTATCCATCTTCTAACCAATCTCTCCCTCCCTCTCCCCATTTATCCCTCCATTCCTTCCCTTTTTACCTCCAAGAATTCCAAGCCCCCTATCTCCTCACTTATCTATCTCTCCCTCTCCCCATTTATCCCTCCCTCCCTTTCCCCCCTTACCTTCGGAAACTTGGATTCCTCGTCCACCAGAGCCATAATATTGAGCCCCCTATCTCCTCATTTACCTAGCTCTCCTAATTTATCTATCCTCATTTATCTATCTCCCTCCCTCTCCCCATTCATCCCTCCCTTCCTTCCCCCCTTATCTTCGGGAACTTCATGTCACCTATCTCCTCATTTACCTATCCCTCTCACTTATCTATCTCTCCTTCTCCCTATTTATCCCTCCCTTCCTTCCTTTTTCTTACCTTCGGGAACTTCAAGCCCCCTATCTCCCCATTTATCCCTCCCCCTCCCTCCCTTCCTTCCTTTTTCTTACCTTCGGGAACTTAGACTCCTCGTCCACCAGAGCCATAATATTGAGCTGCTTGATGGCGATGAGGTCGAGCGTGTCCTGGTTGTCCACGAACTCTATGTGTTGCCAGTTAATGTTTTCCGCGTTATATTCCTCCTGTTCCAGCTTGAAGATGTGCTGCACGAAGAACTGCTGCAGGTTCTCGTTGGCGTAGTTGATGCAGAACTGTTCGAAGCTGGAAGGTGGGAGGGAGTGAAGAGAGAGAGAAAGGGTTTGGTTATGAGTTTGGGCGGTTTTTGTTTGTTTGTTTGTTGGTGGAGGTGTTTGTGGTTAGATGGGTGGTGTTTGGGTGTTTGTTAGGTGGGAGGCTGGGTTTTGTTTTACTGTTTTTGTTATTTTGCGTATCTTGTTATCAGTTATTACCATTTTCTGTATAGTACTTTTTATCATTTATTATTATTAGTAGTAGTGTGTATGTCCACTTACGTGCATGGGCGTGTGTGTGTGTAATTGCGCATAAACAAATCATAAGCCAAACCACACACGCAACACCATCCCTTGCTCCCTTACCTGTTGGACTTGAAGTTTTCGAAGCCGAAGATATCGAGGACGCCGATGGAGGTCCTGAAGGAGGCCGCCTTCTTGTAGATGGCCGCGTTCACCTTGGACACGATCCAGATGAAGAGGCGGCCGTAGATGCCCTTCACGAACGCGTCGCGGACGTCCGTGGCCTGGCTGTGGCTCAGGTGCGACACCTGTGGATACGGAGCTCATGATAGGGATTTTTAATGGGATTTGACTAACTTCGTCTTATTTAATTTCATTTATTGGGATTTGACTGAGGACTCTGGCTCATCTTAATTTAGTTACTTTATTAGGGTTTGACTGAGCATTTTTTTATATTAGGATTTGACTGAGGACTTTGGTTTATCTTATTTTACTTACTTTATTGGGGTTTGACTGAGGACTTCAGTTTATTTTATCTTATTTATTTTACTAGGATTTGACTGAGGACTTCGGTTTATTTTATCTTATTTATCTTATTGGGATTTAACCGAAGTTGTTTTATTTTATTTATTTTATTGAGGATTTTATTTTATTTTATTTTGTTTCTTTTATTGAGGATCTCATTTTATTATATCTTATTTATTTCATTTTATCTATTTTATTAGGGATTTTATTTATTGACGACGTCTGTTGCTTGACTTTATCAGAGAGGGCAAAGGAGAGAGGGTTTCCTATTTCTTTCTTTCATTTGAAAGATCAATTGTATGATTATAAATACTGTTTGTTCATTAATTTTGTTTTATCATCACACTCTACATACCTTGCCAGAAATATGTACCAAGTTCGTAACAAGACATTTCCCTCTTTCAAAATCCCCTTAAAAAAAAGAAAAGAAAAGAAAAGAATAGAGAAGAAAGAAAAAAGAGAGAAAGAAAAAAAAAGTTAATAAAAAAAGAAAATACTGATAAGATGAAAAAAAGACCACACATATACATTAATCCCCCCCTAAAACGTCCCACGCTCACGCACCACAGTCTCCCCCTGCGCGAAGATGGTCCTGGTGGTGAGGGCCTCCTTCATGGCGCGCGGGTCGAGGCCCAGGAACCGAGCCACCCGGACCAGGGACGTCGTGTCGGGGATCTCGGAGGCGTCCAGGTTGTCTGCGGAGGAGGGAGGGGGGAGGGGAGAAGGGGGGTTATTATCTTTATCAGTGTATAATTTTTAGCTTTATCACTGTATTATTATTATTATGTTTATCATTGTATTATTATCTTTATCATTTTATCATTATTATTATGTTTATCATTGTATTGTTATATTTATCATTGTATTATTATCATTATCTTTACCATTGTATTAGTATTATTATCTTTATCATTGTATTAGTATTATTATCTTTATCATTGTATTATCATCATTATCTTTATCATTGTATTATTATCATCATCTTTATCATTATTATTGATTCGTGGCGTTGCTATTGTGGTCACTATTATTGTTATCTTTACTGCCATATGTGTAGAACTTACTATCCTATCTATGTATATTTGTCGTGACCTTACTTATGACCTTAGCCTGCCCTACGACGACCCCCACGACCCTCATGACCTTACCTATGACCTCATGACCTCCTTACCTATGACCTCATGACCCTCGAGACCTTACCTATGACCTCATGACCCTCGAGACCTTACCTATAACCTCATGACCCTCGAGACCTTACCTATGACCTCATAACCCTCGAGACCTTACCTATGACCTCATGACCCTCGAGACCTTACCTATGACCTTGCCCTTGAACTTGACGTTGCCCATGTGTAGGATGGCGGCGAGGACCTTCGTGATCTCCCAGACCTCGGAGTCGCTGAACATGAGGACCTTCATGGCGGAGCGGATGTCGGCGAACTCACGGGCGTCGTCGCGGCCCTCGCACGTGATGCTGCCGCCCTGGGGGAGGGAGAGAGGTTGAGGGAGGGGTGGAGGGAGGGGTGGAGGGAGGGGTGGAGGGAGGGGTGTGGGGATGGGTGGGGGTGTTTGTGTGGGTTGAGGGATGGTAGGGGGACGGGGGTGGATGTTTGTGTGGGTTGAGATATAGGTGGGGGGATAGGTGGGTTGGGGGTGTTTGTGTGGGTTGAGGGATGGGTGAAGGGATTGGCGGGGGGGAGGGGGTGTTTGTGTGTGGGTGTTGAGCAGGGAGTATGGAGAGAGAGGTGTGGAGACGGATAGATGGGGGAATGGATGGGGGATGTTTGTGTGGATTGAGGGACAGGTGGGGGATGGGTGGGGGGTGTTTGTGTATGTTGAACGATAGGTAGGGGGATGGGTGGGTGGGTATTTGTGTGTAGGTGTTGGGAAGGGAGTATGGAGAGAGAGGTGTGGTTGTGTGTGTGTGTGTGGGGGGGGGGGGAGTGGCTTCCAGGGACAGGCTATACTTTCCTGGTTGATGGTTTTGGACGCATGCTTATGCTGTCTCTCCTTCCCTTAACCTAACTGCTATCTATTCTCAACCCTTCCCCTCCCTTCCCCTCCTCTTCTTCCCTGTTCTGTTCCCTCCTCTCTCCCACCCTTCCCCTCTCCCTCTTCAACCCTCTCCCTCTCCCACCCTCCTCCTCTGTCACCCTTTCCACCTTCCCCTCCCCCTTCTCCCTCTCCTACCTATCTTTCCCAATCCCCCTTCCCCTCCCTAGCTCCTCTCCCAAACACACCCCTCTCCACCCCTCCTTCCCTCACCATCTTCCCTCCTGTCTCCCTTCCCCTCCTCTCTCCCTCTCTCCCACCCTTCCCTCCCTCGTCCTCTCCCCTTCTCCCCCATCCTCCATCCCTTCCACTCACCTCCCTCTCCTCTCTCACCCTTCCCCCTCCTACCTCCTCCCTCTCCCATCCTTCCCTCCTCCCCTTCCCTCTCCCTCCCATCCCTTACCTCCCCCATCCCCCAACCCATCCACACTCACCCCCGTCAGGTACTTGTACTGCGAGGCGTCCCCGAGTTCCAGCTTCTGCTTCTCCTCTCGCGTCATCCCGGCCAGCATGCAGTAGAAGATGTGGTAGTTCCTCTCGTCGGTGCCCTGGGACACCAGCCGCGACTTCTCCAGGAGGTACTGCTCGATGGAGGCGCCCTCGATCACGCCGTCCTTGGTGAAGTGGATGTCGATGTACTTGCCGAAGCGGGAGGAGTTGTCGTTGCGGATGGTCTTGGCGTTCCCGAAGGCTAGGGGGGATAGGGGGATAGGGGGAGGGGAGAGAAGGGAGAGTGAGTTTAGAGGTCGAGTTGATTCGTTGATAGGGTGGGAGTAGGAGGGGGATGGGGGTTGGCTTGAGAGAGAGGGAGAAAGTAAGAGGGAGAGAATAAGAGAGAGAGAGAATAAGAGAGAGAGAGAGAGAGAGAGTAGAGAGAGAGAGTAAGAGAGAGAGAGTAAGAGAGAGAGAGTAAGAGTAGAGAGAGTAAGGGAGAGAGAGAGAGAGTAAGAGGGGAGAAGTAAGAGAGAGAGAGAGAGAGAGAGAGAGAGAGAGAGAGAGAGAGAGAGAGAGAGAGAGAGAGAAGAGAGAGAGAGAGGAGAGAGAGGAGAGAGAGAGAGAGAGAGAGAGGGAGAGGAGAGGGAGGGAGGGAGGAGAGAGAGAGAGAGAGAGAGAGAGAGAGAGAGAGAGAGAGAGAGAGAGAGAGAGAGAGAGAGAGGAGAAGAGAGATGAGAGAGAGAGAGGAGAGAGAGAGAGAGAGAGAGGGAGAGAGAAGGGAGGGAGAGGGAGAGAGGGGAGAGAGAGAGAGAGGAGAAGAGGAGAGAGAGAGAAGGAGAGAGAGAGAGAGAGAGAGAGAGAGAGAGAGAGAGAGAGAGAGAGAGAGAGAGAGAGAAGAGAGAGAGAGAGAGAGAGAGAGAGAGAGAGAGAGAAAGAAAGAAAGAAAGAAAGAAAGAAAGAAAGAAAGAAAGAAAGAAAGAAAGAAAGAAAGAAGGAAAGAGAAAGAGAAAGAAAGAGAGAGACAGGCACAGAGAAAGCGTATTGCTGTACACACGCATATCGCACGTACATACCCATTTAGAAAGCGAAAAAGACCAGAAAAAGATCACAATCTCTAAAACCAACGAAGCCAAAAGATTGAATCCAATAAAGTGGTTGAAAAAAACAACAACAACGAATCTCACACAAAATACTGCCATGAAATAAAAGATTTAAGATTGAATCCAATGACGTGGTTGCAATTAAAACAAAAAACACGAATCTCACACAAAATGTTGCCATGAAATAAAAGATAAAACAAGTGAAACGCGACGTTATCTCGGCGCGCCTTATCTCGTATCTTTACGAAAATTCCGAGAAAGGAACGAAGTAACTTAGTGAGTGACTGATATTGAAGAAACAATAAGAATGCAGTTGGCGGGGGCATGTGTGTGTGTGAGTTGCTTACACACACACAACACACACACACACACACACACACACACACCACACCACACACACACACACACACACACACTATAGATAGATAGATGGATAATAAACAGACAGAGAGAGAGGGAGAGAGAGAAAGAGAGAAAGAAAGAAGACAGAGAGAGAGAGAGAGAGAGAGAGAGAGAGAGAGAAGAGAGAGACGAGAGGAGAGAGAGAAGAGAGAAGAGAGAGAAGAGGAGAGGAGAGGAGAGAGAGAGAGAGAGAGAGAGAGGAGAGGAGAGATAGAGAAGAGAGAGAGAGAGAAAAGAAAAGAGAAAGAGAAGAGAGACAAAGAAAGAGAGAGAGAGAGAGAGAAGAGAGAGAGAGAGAGGAGAGAGAGAGAGAGAGAGAGAGAGAGAGAGCAGAGAGAGAGAGAGAGAGAGAGAGAGAGAGAGAGAGAGAGAGAGAGAGAGAGAGAGAGAGAGAGAGAGAGAGAGGAGGAAATGAGGGTTCTTTTCTCCCAGCAATCAAACTTTAATATCAAATCCCAATCAAGGCTTTAATCATCCCACGAACCAAACCGGAAACAGGACACGCATTACACAGCATACAGTCATTATTTTATTTTTTTAAAATTCTTTTCTCCAAATTTATTCTAAAAAAATATGCATTTTGACTAATCCATCTACACATTATCATATCAAACTGTTTTTTTTTTGCTGCTTCTATGTAACAAAAGATAAGTTACTTCGTCAATATAAACTACACTGACATATTATTTAATAAAAATAATTACATAAATATCATTGGTGTTCTCTTTCGTTCCAAAGAATCCGCCAAAGGCAAGAGTTGGCTACACTGTCACCAGAAATGATTTGGTCAGTGTTACCAAATACCTTGCATTCATTCTCTCCTTTATTTCACTTCTCATCACTTAATTCTTTCTTTCTCCTTCCATTCACTTTTCCATTCTTTCACCCTTCTTATCTCCCTTTCTTCTTTCCTCCCTCCCTCCCTTCTCCCTTCCTTCCCTCCTACTCATTATCACTCATTCTCTCCCTTCTTTCACCTTCCCATCCTCCGTCCCTCCTTTCCTTCCCTTCTACTTACTCTCATTCTACTCCTTCCCCACCTCCCCTCCTTCTTCCCTCCCTCCCCCCCTCCTCTCTCCCTCCCTCCCTCCCTCCCCCCTCTCCCTCCCTCCCTCTCCTCCCTCCCTCTCCCTCCTACTCCCAACTCACCTTCGAGGATCGGGTTGGCCTCCAGGATCTGCTGCTCGATCCAGGAGTGCTTCCCCGAAATGGCCGCCAGGTACTGCAGGATCAGCTTGGTGCTCTCCTGGTCTTCCCGATTCGCCCGTGTGGTGTGGGGTAGGGGTGGGTAGGGGTTGTTGGGTGGTGGGTAAGGTTGTGGGTGGGTGGGGTGTGTGGCAGGTGTTGTAGGGGTTGTGGGGGTGTGGGTGGGGTGGGTTGGGTGTTGGTCAGGGGTTGGGTGGTTGAGGGTGTGGTTGGTTGAGGTGTGTGATGGGTGTGGGTGTGGGTGTGTGGGTAGGGGTGGGTGGAATGTGCAGATGGTGGGGGGGTTTGGGTTGTGGATGGGTTGTTGGGGGTTTGGATGTGAGGATGGGTGGGTTGTTGGTGGAAGTTGAGGGTGGAGGTGGGGGTGTTGAGTGTGGGTAGGGGGATTTGAAATAGAGGGAGTTGTTGGGTGTGGGTGTGGGTGTGGGGATGGGGGAGGGGGGGGTGTGGGATGGGTGAGCGTGTGGTTGGAGATGTGGGTGTGGGCGGGAATGTGAATTATGTGCGTGGGAGTGGTGGGAATGGGGAGTGGGATTCCGGAGTGTGGAGTGGGGGCGAGTGTGTGGGGTTGGGGGTGTGGGGTGTAAGGGTGAGGTTAGGTTCAAGGGAAGAAAAAAAAAATGATGGAATTATTATTGAAATTTTCACTGGATATTTTTTTTATTTCAGATAAATATTAAAGTTTTCTTATATCTACTTATGTCTACTTATATCTAAGTGTAGAAGGTTGTCGATCTCACTGTCCTTTCAATTTTTTAATGTGTGTCTCACTTTATCCGATTCTTTTCTATTTATACATCTGTCTATCTGTTCATATTAATTTGTATCAATATTCATTCATACCTTTTTTAAATCCATCTGTGTATGTGTGTATACAAACACATACACACACATACATACATACATAATATATATATATATATATACATATATATATATATAATATATTATATATATATATATATATATATATATATATATATATATATATATATATATATTATATATATATATATATTCATATCTACTACATGATAATGACGAATGTGCTTATCTATACACATTTTACCTAAATAGTATCTAAACATATCCATATTCTATCTTCCTATCCCTTCATGCATCCTCTTACCAATCTATTTCTACATTTCCCTCCCCTTCTATTCACCTATAAATCTGTATGAGCCACATTCCCTCTGTGTTAACATCTGGCTCATTATTTGTCCAGACTTCGAACAACTAATCCCAGGATCGAGACACGTTCGTTGATAACAGAATTACATCATATCTCGATTGGGCGTTGTTATCTTATCTGTCTGATAGCCGTGTTGTTTGCAGGAGGACATGATGTCTATCTGCGGGTCGGCGTCTACCTGAGCCTTGAAGTGGATAAGTGCATGCAGTCTTATAAAAACGCTCTTTTTTGTTTTTGCTTTGCCTTAGACGAACGCCGGTGTTGACGTATGGGGAAGGCTAGATCAGTGGCAACTCGAGGAGGTGTCATGGCGTCTGTTTTGATGATTGTGCAATGGAAATATAGCCATTAAAATCATTAATTTTCCATCCTTTTCGAAAATTGAAAAGACCAAAATGATCGACCATAGTCAAAGCATCCGTAACTTTTGTGACGTCATCAAGATAAAGCCCATGTGCTTTTTACCAAAAAATAGAATCAGACGCCATGGCACCTCCTCGAGTTGCTACTGATTTAGCCTTCTCCGTTGACGTGTACAGGGATCGGCTTAGAATGATTTAGATAGGTTTGGTCTCTCTGTGTCTGCTCTCTTTCTGTCTCTGCTTTATCGTATCTATCAGTTCTCCTACTCTGATCTTTACTGTCTTCTATCTGTCTGTCCCTACCCTTCCCCCTTTTCTATATGTCTGTCCCTTTACCTCCTCCTCCTATCGTCCTTTCCTCCATCCAACCATCCTTTATTTTTTCCCTTCCTCTACCCTCCCTCCTTCCCTTCCCTTCACGTCTTCTCCCTTTCTCCTTCCCTTCCTCCCTCCCCCTCTCTTCCTTTCACCCTCCTTTCCCTCCCTTCCCCCTTCCTTCTTCCTCCCTCTCCTTCCCTCCTTCCCTCCTTCCCTCCCTCCTCCACCTCCCTTCCTCCCTCCTCCCCCTCCCTCCCCCCCCCCCTAAACGCTCACAATACACTACCTGATAACAATGCACTGGTCCTGCTTGAAGCGCCTCATGTTGTTGTAGCAGCTGTCCCCGATGGCGAAGATGTGGGGGGGGAGTTCGCCGATTTTCTTGCCTCGGTACAGCTTGATTTGGTCCACCGTGTAGATGGGGAGGATCTGGTACGGGTTCACGGCCACGAGGATGGAGCCCGTGTAGGTCTGGGGGAAGGAAGGGGGGGGGTCAGTAAGGGAGGTCGGTGGGGTCATGGGGTCATCTTCATTATCATCGGCAACTTTATTATATTATCGTTATTACGGTTTTCTAAATCACTATCATTATCATTATTATTATCATTATTAGTATTATCATTATTATTATTATTATTATCATTATTTGTATTATCATTATCATCATTATTATTACATTATCAATTTCATTATCATTATAATAATCATTATTATCATTACCATCATCGTCAACATTATCATTATCATCATTATTATAATAATTACTATTACTACATTTATTATCATTATCATCATCACTAACACTAGCATTTATTCTGAAATAATGTTTCTATCAATGAAATAGTAATAACAACAAAAAAAGAAAAAAACATGTTAAACTCTCCGACAAAACACATACAAAATAAATCATACGTTTGCTTTAATACATCTATTCACCCCCCCCTCCTCCCCACACCTCCCTCGTACCCCACATGCACCCTCACACCCCCTCCTCCCTATCACTTGCCCTCTACACTTCCTCCCCAACGCTGCTTTTACCCTACATACCCCGTTTCCCCTTCTGTTCCTCATCTACATATTTACTCCTTTACTCTTTACCTCTTTTGTCTTCTATCCAGACACTATTTATCTTCATTCTCCTCTTACGTTTAACATTCATCTTCTTTTCCCTTTCACTTCCCACCCACTATTTATCCTTACTTTCCTCTTACATTTAATTAATTTATCTCCGTTTCCCCTTACTTCCAGTTCACCAATTACCCTCATTTGGTTTCTTGCATTTATCCTCATTTTTCTCTTACATTTAACTAAACATTTGTCTCCATTTTCCCCTCACTTTCAACCCATGATTTATCCTCATTTTCCCTTACGTTTAACTAAACTTTTGCCTCTGTTTTCCCCTCACTTCCAACCCACGATTTTTCCTCATTTTTCTCTTACAATTAACTAAACTTGTCTCCATTTTCCCCTCACTTTCAACCCATGCTTTATCCTCATTTGCTTCTTACATCTAACTAAACATTTGTTTCTATTTTCCCCTCACTTCTAACTCACGATTTATCCTTATTTTCCCCTCACACCCACCCTAATACCCTCATTTCCTCTCATCCAACTCACCATTCAACTCAATTATCTCTCAACTCCCTATTTTTCTCACCCTATAAACTCAGATTTACTCCTCAGTTCACACCCAACCCCACTCCTCTTTACTCCTCCACTCTTGCCTAGTTCTCTCCCTAACTCTCTCTTACTCTTTCTCTTCATACCTCCCTCGTAGCCTCATACCCAGGCACGCCCCCTCTCATCCAAGTCTCTCTCACTCACACTCACCTCCAGCCATCCACGTCCACCCACTCTCCATCCATACTCCCCCCACGCCCGCAAATCCTTCCGTCCCATCCCCCCTTCCCAGCCTACCCTCACTTACATAAATAAGATTCTCCCCCACCCCTACATCCCACCCACGTCCACCCACATCCACCCACCAACTCCCCACCCACACTCCACCTACTCCCACCACACCACCCACCACCCACACCCTCCCTCCCCACCCACCTACTCACACCCCTCCCCTCCCAACCCCCTCCCCATCCCAACCCTTCGCTCAACTCACATAGATCAGGTTCTCATTGTATCGAATAAGGAGGTTCCTGAGGATGCCGGCTTCGTGGAGGTCTCCCAGGCTGATCATGTCCTCGACGCCCTGGACCGACGTCGGGTGCATGGCCTTGATGCGTCGCTCGGGGGTCAGCCATTGCTCCTGGAGGGGGAGAGAAGGGGGGGAGAGAGAAGAGGGGGTTTAGTTAGTGGTGGGTGCGCTGTGGTAGGTGTGGTTGCTGTTCTTGGTGGGGGGGGGAGGAGGAGGAGGTGGAGGAGGAAAAGGAGGAAGAGGATAAGGAGGAAGGGGAGGAGGAGGGGGAGGAGGAGGAAGAGGAAGAGGAAGAGGAAGAGAGAGAAGAAGAAGAAGAAGGAGGAGGAGGAGGGGTGGGATAGTGATAGTTATGACATGGTAGACAAAGTGGTTCCTGAAAGTGCTGTTCTGATGCCATAATGATTGTAGTAGACATTGCTCCTGGTGGGGTTGGACAGGGCTTTGTGGTAGTTATGCTGTGGTAGGTGAAACTGATGTTAATGGTAGAGAATCGAGATGATAACTAGTAACGTTGTGGTTCTAGGAGCCATTGTTCCTGTTAGAAGGAGCCACGACTACTGGTTGAGGGTATATCGACTGTGGTAGAGGAAGGTAGGGTTAGTGGTGGTAATATTGTGGTACTGGAAATTAGTGTTCCTGGAGGGGGAGGTGGTGTATGTGTGTGTGTGTGTAGGGGGGGGGGGGTAGTGGTGACAATGTAGTTGTATATAGTGGTTCCTGAATGAGTCAGAAAGGAGGTAGTGATAGTAATACTGTTTCCGGAAATGTAATGGTTTTAGTGGTTATTACTTCTGACGGGGGGGGATGGGGCAATAAGGCAATCGAACTGCTCGCTATTACAACGGGTGGGAGGGATGGGGTTAGGGACAACACAGTGATATATAACTCCTATTGGGGATACATTCATATAGTCGCTATTCTTGGTGGGGCAAAAGTAAGGATTTTAAGATGGTGATTGATACTGGTATAGTTGATATAGTGATAGAGTGCTACTGGTATAGTTAATATGGTGATATAGTGATGCTGGTATAGTTAATTCTTCTGCTGGGAACGAAAACGAGGATTCTGAGGAAATTGATACAACGAAACTAGCAAATGGCTAATAAATGCAAATATGACATCGTTCAAGATAAAATCATTGCTCTTGGTGGGAACGAGTTTGGTTTTAGTTACAGATTAAAGATTAAAGATTTTAAAGATTGAGTTTCAATTCCATTTGTTACAATGGATATTCTTTGCTGTGACATGCTGTCTGTTTTATTTTGCTTCTAAATCTCCCCCTGTGTGCAAGGAATGGCCGGGGTGACCATCCACTGGCAGCGCGCGGGATCGAACGCGGCTCAGCAAGATTGCAAGCCCAGCACGTTCACCACTGCACTACACAACACACTGTATATTGCAACATTATGTCTAACGTTAATGACGGCAATTGACATAATGAGGCCAGAAATTGGAAATAACTCAATGAATATAATTAATGTTTCTGAGGGCATTGGTAGACTCGAGAAGGGCGAGTAAACAATGAATCAGAAATTAAATCGTAAATTAATACCAGCAAAACGGATTAAGATCATGAATGCTAATAGCAAATCGTTTTATCCATCCTATTAACACGAAGAAGAGAAAGAGGTGAACCAATAATGATAATAATTTAAGCTAAAAATATGATAACCGGAAGTGAATCTCGCATTAGAAGAGAGGGGTAGGAGAGGGGGGGGGTTAGGCGTTGATAATGATGACATAATGATAATGATGGGACTTAATTGAAGGTAATCGAGGGTGAGTCACTTTTCCTGCTTTGGGGTGACGGTGGGTGGGCCGGGGGGGGTGGGGTGGGGTGGGGGTGATAGGGGTTGATAATGGGGATTGTCCTGATAATAATGATAGGAGATGATGAAATGAAGATAAAATCGTTCGTGTTGGGATGAAGTGGACATTGGTGGTGATAATTTAGTGGCATTGGGAAAAAAGGGTAAAGTGAAATGTCATTTGAAAAACAAACAAACAAATTCGAAGAGGTTGAAAACAGTTGAAGAAAATGGTAGAGGCTGTTTTTTTAATGTTATTAAAATTTTGAGATATATAAAAAATAGAAAAAAATCTAATATAACAAAAATTACAACATATAACAAAAATTACTAAAATGGGGATGATTGAAAAAACTGATTATGTTTAATAAGAATTGGAGATGGATACAGATAGCAAAAAACAAAATGATAGAAAATAGCTGATAATATATTCATTCTTTCTGAGGGGATAACAAAGCAAATAACAACAACCAAACGACAGAAAAAATAAACTAATAAAAAATGAACATACAAATAAATGAGTAAATTTAAACATGATTAAACAAATAAATGAATAAACAAAAAATGGAGGAATAGAAAATAAATAAATCAATAAACAAACAAACAAATAAAATAGAATACACAAAAATAAAAGAGACAAAAAAAAAAAAAAAAAAAAAAATCAACTTACGTTTCCGTCGTCGTCCTGCACCTGGATCCGACGCCCCTCCGCGCTCACGACCCTGGCGCCGATGGCCACGTCGAACTCCCGTCTCGACACCGGTTCGATCCATATGTAGTCGCCCTGCGGAGGAGGAGGAGGGTTAGAAGAGGGGGAGAGGAGGAGGAGGAGGTTAGAAGGGGGGATTGCGAATGGGGTGGGAGGGGGAGGGGAAGAAGAAGGAGGAGAGGAGAAGGGAGGTTAGAAGGGGAGGGGTTGGAGGGTGTGGAGGGGCAGGGGGGGTTTCGGATGGGGTGTGAGGGGAAGGAGGAGAGGAGGGAAGTTAGAAGGGATGGATTGCGAATGGGTGTGGAGGGGGAGGGAGAGGAGGAGAGGTTGGAGGAGGAGGGAGTGTATGTGGTGTGTACGTGCGTACATTAATAAGGTATTATTTATCATATACATGTAAACGTTTTTATTTCTGAAAGAAAGAGAGAGAGAGAGAGAAGAGAGAGAGAGAGAGAGAGGAGAGAGAGAGAGGAGAGAGAGAAGAGGAGAGAGAGAAGAGAGAGAGAGAGAGAGAGAGAGAGAGAGAGAGAGGAGAGAGAGAGAGAGAGAGAGAGAGAGAGAGAGAGAGAGAGAGAGAGAGAGAGAGAGATTTAACAGGTCTACCACAAAGTAAAACGTCTATTAGTGTAAATCGAAATGATAAGACAGTAAAATAAAACAGGTGAATGATAAGAGAAAAGAGCTTGTGCGTTCATCTAGAAATTTCTCTCACTTCATTCAAAGCACGAATCCAAGAGGCTCATGTTCGAAACAGTTGAAACAATTGAACGAATACATCGGCCATGACTGTTCGAAACCTTCGAAGCAATCTAAAAAAATACTATCCCTTATCAGCTCATAACAAACAAAAATGTAAGAAAGAAAAAAGGTCCAAACAAACTGATCGATGAGTGATTTAGGATGGAAAGAGTGTTATACCAGAACGATGAGTCACTGGATCAGCTGACTGGGTTTTGTAATACATCGCCGGAGGCCAAGAACACTTGCATTCGGACAGGTTAAATTATGGAGAGTGCAGGCCTAAACTGGTTTCATGGGACTAGAAAGTGGTACACACGCATGCACTGAGATGCAAGCAAGCAATCGGATACAGACGAACAGAGAAGAGAAAGAAAGAAGAATCAGACGAGGAAGCAGATCAAGATAAACAAGAGACGCACACGCGGAGAAAGTGATGGTGATGGCAACAACCGTTAACTTCAGTTAAGATAATATTTACATTGCCAATAACCGAATTACAAATCATAACATTAGTTTGTAGTGATAAAGATTCATACATTGCAAAACCTATATTACAGCGATAAATGACAAAAGAATATTATATCCCTAATATCAGAAACTCGTAGAGAGAGCAAGACTAAACTAGATCTTTTCAGCCTAGATCATGTTCGACTGCAAGATATTTTTAGATCATAAGAAATTGGAGATTACGTAGAGCATTCACACGCTTTTTCTCATTTCCGCAAAACAGCTCGTACTGGAAAAATACATAGATATCAAGTGAAATGGACACTATTTATATAATTCTCCTGTAGTTCTGAACTCTAAAATGAATAAACACAATGCTACGAGTGCTATTGAGGACTTTGAAAAGGACCCACAATCATTTTTTTTGGGGGGGTGGTGGGGGGGCAAAATCTTCGAGCGGGATATATATCTGATGATTACTTATCTTCCTATCTACATGTTAGTATTGGAAAAGGAGGATAAAAAAGTAATTATCGGTCGCTCTACACGTTAATACTGGAAAAGGAGAAAAAAATCTATCTACCTACATGTTATTATTAGAAAAGGAGCAAAAGTGTATTTATCTATCTATCTACAAGTTAGAATTGGAAAAGGACCAAAACGAAAACAAGTCCTACAAGATTTTTTTTTTAACAATCTTTGACAATTACGAAATCTCGAGTCTACTGGACCGCCGACACTTTCCTAGGTTCGTGAAAGGCAGTCCAATATTTAGAAATATAGGAAACAGGACCTGTCTTCACCATCTCCAACGAAATGTGTGCATATGCGTGCCAAATTACGCTTTATTTGAGATTATCGTAAAATACAAGGGGTGTCAAGACTGATGTGTCGTGGGTTGAATGCTTTTTATTTTCTTTTTAACATTAAAAAGGAAGACTGAAAGAGTCAGAGAAGACCGCCACTGAAATCTAAAGCCTCGGCGCGGGACTCCAGCCAGCACACACCGCCTTCGAGGTCACGAAGTCGACGACGCTGCCCCCGACGCCCCCTTCAGCGTCGCCTCCGTCGGAGTCCGGCAGAGGGGGCTTCCACGTGCCGTCCTGAACGCCCCTCTCCAGGTCCACCACGACGTTGACGCCCCCGCCCGCCGTGTAGTGTCTGAAGGCGGGGTTCCTCGCCATTTCAAGGGTCTCGTAGATGTTGACTTTCTGCAGGACGGTGGAGGACGAGGAGGACGGAGGGGAGGCAGAGGAGGAGGAGGAAGGAAGGGAGGTGGAGGACCTGAAGGTAGGAGGAGGAGAGGTTGAGGACGAGGAGGCCTTCGGGTGCTTGAGGGGACTTCGGAGGACGAGGTCCTTCCTTCCTTCTGCAGGAGACGGTGTTCTTTCTTGGTCTCTCGCTTCTCCTTTTATTTGGTTTTCGTCCTTTTCCTCTTTCGTTGCCAGGGCCGTTTGATCGCAGGTTTCCTTCGTCTCGTCTTGGGTCTCTCCTTTATCATTTCCTCCGCTTTGGTTCTCTTTTCCTTTATCTATCGGGGAGTTTCCGTTTCGTTTATCCTTGTCCTCTGTCCCTCTAGTTCCTTCCCTTTTGATTTTCCCGCCGTTTTGGATTCCATTTTCCTTCGTGTCCTCGCTCCTCTCGCCATTTCTGCCCCTCAAAGCCACCTGCAACTTGGCTTTCTTTGTATCGACGACAAAACCGTCCGGCTCGTACACTATGACGTCATCGCCGTCAGTGACGTCATCCCCATCGAAGTGGTTATATCCACCGTTCTTGTTTTCTTCTTTGTTCTTCATGTTTCCCCAAACCCTCTTTCTCTCTTCCTTTCCGTTCATCCGCTCCGCCTTCCTTCCCTTTTCGCTTCGTTCTCCGCTTCCGCTCCTTTTGCTCTTCTTATCTCCCCCTTTATTCCTCTCTTCCTCTCCTTCCCTCTCCTCTCCTCGCCACAGCTGCTGCCTCTCCTCAAAGCTCGTGATTTCGTGATCTCTCTCTCCGTTCATCGTGTTTTGTGCGTAAGGCGCCTCTGTGGCTTGTTTGGCTACTCGTGCAGTATATCTGGCTATTTTCCCGCCAGACTGTGGCTACTTTGGCGATGAATATCGGATTTCTTTAGCTATTTTCGTGGATACTATTTTTTCGAACTAATTCTATTGTTTTTTGTTTTATTTTTCCCGTCTGGTTTCTCACTCTCTTTGCAAAAGTGACAATGTCTGTAAAGTGTTTTTCATTGAGGATTTCGGTCACATTTTGACCAAATTTTAATTTTGATTTCACGTAAATCGAATTTTCTTTTCTTTTCTGAAAAGTTCGATTTAAGAAAAAATAAATCAAGATCTAACTGCAGGTGATCTCAAATGTAAACATATTTCTGTTTACATTTATATCTAGACCCAAAAGTAAAGGGTTATCCATAACACAGTAACAAAAACAAATTATGAAAACCAAAAAAAGAAAAAAAATCTTCCGTCGCCATAAGCATTCAGAAGCACCAAATCCACTATTCTGAACACCAAACCCATATCCACAACTCCCTCCATACCCATCCCGATGCCAAACACCATAAACACCACCACACCGAACTCACACCAGGCATCATAACTACAGAATAACTAACAGCACCAAATATCTGCGGAAAATCGTTATTCTTTTTTTATTTTTTATCATCCCTTTTATTCTTAATGACTGAGTACCAATAGTTCATCTTTTTTATCGTTATCATCCCTTTTATTTTTAAGGACTACCAATCGTTCATCTTTTTTATCATCCCTTTATATTTTTAAGGACTAAGTACCAATCTTCATCTTTTTATCGTTATATCCCTTTAACTTTAACGATGAGTGCCCAATCGTTCATCTTTTTTCATTATCATCCTCTTATATTTTTAAGGACTAAGTACCAATCATTTATCTTGTATATAATTATTATCCCTTTAACTTTTAACGACTGAGTACCCAATCGTTCATTTTTTTATCGTTATCATTCTTATTATTTTTAAAGACTGAACACCCAATCGCTTTTTCTATTAACATCCATTTTATTCCAAATGACTGAGTACCCCACACCGAACGCTTCCTTTCTTTTCATTCCAGATCTCCCACAACACCCAAAGCTACATTACAACCTCCCTCCCCCTTCCCTCCCTTTAAACCATCTCACACCATAACCCTCCCATATCCTTCTACCCTCCCTTTCCCCCTCAACCCCACCCCGTTCCTCTCATGCGTCACCGGAAGCTGTGTGACGGAGCCCGGACGGAGCGTGACGGCAGGTGCTCCCGCCTAGCTATTTTATTGGGCCCTTCTTTCCTGCTTGCCTCTCCCCTGCCCTCCGCCTCCCCTCTTTATCGCGCTTTCCCTCTCTCTTGCTCTTGTTTGTCTCTTGTTCCTTTTCTTTTCTCTCTTTCTCTTTCTTGTTTGGGTGTCGGTTCTTTCTTTTTCTCTTTCTCTCCTCCTTCTTTGTCTTTCTTTAGCTTTGTGTATGTCCCTAACCTGCTTATTACCTCTCATTTTATTTTTCATCTCGAGGAAGAGAAGAGAAGAGAGAGAAGAGAGAGAGAGAGAGAGAGAGAGAGAGAGAGAGAGAGAGAGAGAGAGAGAGAGAGAGAGAGAGAGAGAGAGAGAGAGAGAGAGAGGGGGGGAAAATAGAAGAAATTAAAATATATATAAATATGGAGAGAAAGAGAGAGAGAGAGGTATTGCTTCCCACAATCACTCATACTTCACTAACGACCTCCTTATCAAAATACAAACGACCTATAACGACCACCTAGCACAGATAACCCTCCTCCACTAACGACCCACGAACTGCCTCTGTTAACGACCAGGGTATCCCGCTTCAGTTCTTCCTGTAATTTATCTATACTTAATTAAACAACAACTCTATTG